GGAAGCCCATACTAAGGAAAATTCTCCATTTTCCCCTCCTTTGACTTCTTCATGATTTCACACTTAAACGTCACCTCTTCAGAACAGCCTTACCTGAATGCCCCAACTGATGTAGATTTCTTTTTCCTGATAACATTAGATTTGCTTATTAACTGAAGTCTCCCGCCACAACACACACACACACACACACACACACACAGAGACAGAGAGAGAGAATTAGATTATAGCTTTCTGGGTATCAGCTCACTTGCCTCTTGCATTTTTACCCCAGTACCTGGTACCTGATGGATACTCAATAAATGTATGTTAAATAGGTGATCAAAATGAATGAAGAAAAGAATCCAAGGAAATAAAAAAGAAGGAAAAAAAAAAAGATAGGATTTCCTTGATGATAAATTCAATTAGGAGTTTGTGCCTGATGACCCCAAACTGAGCCCCCATAAACAAAATATTTTTCCTTTCCTACCTCTGGCTTACATACTCTTCCCATCAAAATAGCCCTGCAAAGAGCTTCTGCATCGTAACCCCTGAATGAAATGTAAAGGACTTGACATTATAAAGTATCTGCGATTGCTTCACCAGCACCAAGAAAATAAAACTCCCTCTCAGCTAAATTCAGCAAGAGGTCATTTAAAAATTCCCCTAGATAGATAAAGTGAGGAACAAAAAAAGTCATAAGCTTCCCCAGGAAAATTTTCACACCTACTGCAGATGGGAAACTGTGGCCAAACCCTAAGGCCAAATGCTTCCCAGGCTGCAGATGCACAGAGTGCAGACTGGGCCCTGCCACCTGCCCCCAGAGCTGAAGAGGAAAAGAGCTCACTCAGGGGACACAGAACTGCAGCTGCCCTGGCTGATCTCTGCAGGAGTGGTGGGACGGATGGACTGCACTGGTTAAATAGCACTTTCAAAACCACTCAACAAAACAAAACAAACAGCCCTTTATTTCAGGGTGAGGGAGGATAAGGAGTAAATCCTTATTCCAGCAATCAAGTGATTGAACTCAGGTATAGCAGAATGACAGCATATCTTACTGATATGGAAACTCCTAAATCAGTAAAAAAGAGGACATGTGGAACAAGTGTAAATCTTCAGAGTCAATATTTTATAAAATGATTCATTAGAGGAGCATACAATTAATTTGTGGATCTTGACCATCATCTCCAGAAAATAAGACAGAATTAGAGGATTACAGCTGAAAAATATCATAAGGTTTGTATTTTTGTGGGCACATGCATGAGGGCTGCGTAACAATACAAAATGTTTTCTAAATTACAGGTTTTGGTAAAAATGTAGGAAAGTCCCTGTTTAGGGACACCCCTTCTTCCACACGTGACCCAGGGCCTCCCACATCAAAATCTGGGTTCAGATTTTCAAACTCTGGCTTTCTGGCCCCACCCCCAGAGATTCTGATTGATGAGGTGTAGGATAGGCCTGAGGAGCCTGCATGTAGATGCAGGTGACTCTGACTTGTACTAAAGTTTGAGACACAGATGACAGCATCTGCAGGCTTGCCTTGAGTAGGCATGAAGAATTACTTGTCTTTTCACTTTCTGGTCTTGCAGAGTGCTTCCTTGTGATTAGCATCCTGGGGGAGACCTTAATGCCTGATAAGAAACAGTGTGACATAGTGGTTGAGAGGGCTTCTGTTAAGTGAGACAGATTCAATTTCTAATCGCAGCTTGCCAGCACTAGCTGTGAGATCTTGGGAAACTCATTCACTTTGTTTACGTATGTGGGGTTAATAATTACGGCATAGAATTTAAAGATAAGATAAAGCAACTTGTTCATAGCAGCATAGGAAATCTTAGGTATTATAATCTTTAAAAGAATTCACCAACATTTTGAACCAAATGCTAGTTAACCTAATGTGACAGAGGTTAGTTGAGTGTGCAAAGAACTATGTTACGTCTTTTGGAAATGCAGCAATTAAACAACAGTTTCTAGTTTCACTGAATTTTTTTTTATTTAATGAGCATAAATTTCCAAAGTACAGCTTATGGATTACAATAGCTTCCTCCCCCCCGTAACTTCCCTCCCACCCACAACGCTCCCCTCTCCCACTCCCTCTCCTCTTCCCCTTCACATCAAGATTAATTTTCAATTATCTTTATATACAGAAGATCAATTTAGCATATATTAAGTAAGGATTTCCACATTTTGCTCCCATACAGAAACACAAAGTGCAAAATACTATTTGAGTACTAGTTATAGTCATTGAATTTACAATCTCATTCTTCATAGACTTTTACTGCACAAAATAGCCTTACAAATTACCCAATTCACCTCTCTTCTAACAAATAAGGAAACTTAGACTTGACAGTTTAAACAAGTTGCCCAGAATTGTCTTAATAGTTGGTGAAGGATTCAGAAATAGAACCAAAACACCTGCACCAAAACACCCTTCCACCACAGTGGATGTCAGTTCCTGGGTGAGAGCCCACTGGTGGGCTGGTAAATGTCAACAACCAGCTGTCTGTGTTGGACTACATATACACATCTATGTATACTTATATGTATACATATATATACTTATATGTATACATAGATGTATATATGTATATACATATAGAGACATACTTGTATATATTAACATCCATATTTCTGTATATATATTTGTACATAAATTTACTCAAAGTTTACTAATATAAAGGAAATGTACACAGTATACAAATAATGAGAAAATTATAAGACTCTTTATTATGAATAACATATCACCAACTGAATCTCATATAATGCTTGAATTGACATTTGCTCAATTCTTATACCATTGGTCAAACAGTGTTTGCAACGAAACTACAATTTATCAAATGGGCTCCTATATCTACTAATTCTTTACTAAAATTGTGGTTAAAAAAACACGTAACATCAGAGCAGTTATAATCAAAACAGCATGGTACTGGTAAAGAAAGAGATGGATAGACCAATGGAACAGAATGGAAACACCAGAAATCTATCCAAACACCTACAGCCAACTGATATTTGATCAAGGATATAAAACCAATTCCTGGAGCAAGGACAGTCTATTCAACAAATGGTGCTGGGAAAACTGGATTTCCACGTGCAGAAGCATGAAGCAAGACCCCTACCTTACACCTTACACAAAATCCACTTAATAGGGATTAAAGATCTAAATCTATGGCCTGACACCATCAAATTATTAGAGAACATCGCAGAAACTCTGCAAGATATAGGCTCAGGCAAAGACTTCTTGGAAAAGACCCCAGAGGCACAGGCAGTAAAAGCCAAAATTAACAACTGGGATTACATCAGATTGAGAAGTTTCTGTACTGCAAAAGAAACAGTCAGGAAAGTGAAGAGGGAACCAACAGATTGGGAAAAAATATTTGCAAACTATGCATCCGATAAAGGATTAATAACCAGAATCTACAAAGAGATCAAGAAACTCCACGTTCGGATCTGGCTAAAAAGCCCATGAGAGTATTTCAGGCATGGAAAGCCAAGACACCGTGGCAAAAAAACAAACAAACAAACAAACAAACAAAAAAACTAAATGAAAGATCTCTGTGAGTGAGATCCCAGCAGAAACAATGGGCCATCAGAGAAGGAGGTACCTTTCTCTGAAGAGAGGAGAGAATTTCTACCTTGACTATGGACTTGTCTAAATAAGATTGGGGTTGGTGAACTCAAGAGGCTTCCATAGCCTTGGCAGTTCATGACAAGAGCCTAGGGTGATTACTGACGCCATGAACAAGAGTGTCAATTGTTAAATCAACAACAGGAGTCACTGTGCACTTACTCCCCATGTAGGATCTCTGTCCTTAATATGTTGTACCACATGAATTAATGGTATAACTCGTATTCAAACAGTACTTTAAACTTTGTGTTTCTGTGTGAGTGCAAACTGTTGAAATCTTTACTTATTATATACTAAATCGATCTTTGGTATATAAAGAGAATTGAAAATGAATTTTTATGAGACTAGTGTCTCCTAATACTAACTGAATGAATTAAAAAGGAGAGAACAATCCAACATGGGAAGCACGATACACAGCAGACTCATAGAATGACAGGTGTCCTAAACAGCACTCTGGCCTCAGAATCAGCCCTTAAGGCATTTGGATCTGGCTAAAAAGCCAATGAGAGTATTTCAGGCATGGAAAGCCAAGACTCTGGCCAAAAAAAAAAGTGATTTTTAAATGAAAGGTCTCTGTGAGTGAGATCCCAGCAGAAACAATGGGCCATCAAAGAAGGAAGTACCTTTCTCTGAAGAGAGGAGAGAATTTCCACCTTGACTATGGACTTGTCTAAATAAGATTGGGGTTGGTGAACTCAAGAGGCTTCCATAGCCTTGGCAGTTCATGACAAGAGCCTAGGGTGATTACTGATGCCTGAACAAGAGTGTCAATTGTTAAATCAACAACAGGAGTCACTGTGCACTTACTCCTCTTTAATGTGTTGTACAATGTGAATTAACAGTATAGGTAGTACTCAAACAGTACTTTATACTTTGTGTTTCTGTGTGAGTGCAAACTGTTGAAATATTTACTTAGTATATACTAAATTGATCTTCTATATATATGCAGATAATTGAAAATGAATCTTGATGTGAATGGGATGGGAGAGGGAGCAGGAGATGGGATGGTTACAGGTGGGAGGGAGGTTATAGGGGGAAAAAGCCACTGTAATCCATACGCTGTACTTTGGAAATTTATATTTATTAAATAAAAGTTTTTTAAAAAAGAAAATGAATCTTGATGAAGAATGGGTTGGTTGCGGGTGGGAGAGAGGTTATGGCCGGAAAAAGCTGCTATAATCTAAAAGTTGTACTTTGGAAATTTATATTTATTAAATAAAAGTTTTAAAAAACAAGTAACATAAAATTTACCATATTAGCCATTTTTAAGAGTATAGTTCTACAGTATTAAATGTATTGACATTGTGCAATCAATCTCCAGAACATACTTATCTTGAACAAGTAAAACTCTATGTCCATTAAACAATAATTTTCTTTTCTTTTCTTTTTATTTATTTGACAGGTGGAGTTACAGTGAGAGAGAGAGACGGAGAGAAAGGTCTTCCTTCCGTTGGTTCACTCCCCAAATGGCCGCCACGGCCAGTGCTGCACTGATCTGAAGCCAGGAGCCAGGAGCTTCCTCCTGGTCTCCCATGCAGGTGCAGGGCCCAAGCACTTGGGCCATCCTCCACTACTTTTCCATGCCACAGCAGAGAGCTGGACTGGAAAAGGAGCAGCCGGGACTAGAACCCGGCGCCCACATGGGATGCTGGCACAGCAGGCAGAGGATTAACCAAGTAAGCCATGGCGCTGGCCCCAAACAATAATTTTCTCTACATCCTTCATAACACTTTCCTCTCTTTTTTTAATGGTGTTCATTTTAATGGGTATAAGATGATCCACTAATTTTTGGCCAATAAAATGGTGAAACATAGTCATTAAATCTGACTATGTAATCTAATGTTAAGCAATTTCTTACCCTCATATAGATTGCATTCGTTAAACAAAAACCTACTTTGTTTTCTCTTATGTTGAAACTTACACTCACTCATCAATAATGTCAGTGATTACTTTGCTTAATCAGATATTTTTCCAATATTGGAAGAATACTTCCTCAGTTTTTTTATTATTCACAATGTAATGACTACTAAGACAACATGTTCATAAGATTAATTTATGTTTTATTATTTTCCTCATCACTTCTGTAGGTGTAGACGAGGGGTAAGAAAATTTTCTCTCTAATGGACCAGAGAGTAAAGAGTTAGACTTTGTTGGTCATTTGTCTCTGTCAAAATCACCCAATTCTGTCAATGTAGTATGAAAGCAGTCATAGATACTGCATATGAAAGGACATTGCAATGTTCCAATAAAACTTTATATCAAAAGATGTCAGGCAGGCTCTAATGTGCTGCACCCTTCTTCAGATGGTCAACAAAACTATTGTTTTACCTGACTGCCTGCCAGTTTCCTTTATGTAAATACTCCTGAGCATCATCTTTTTTTTTTTAAAGATTTATTTTATTTATTTGAAAGACAGAGTTACAGCGAGAGGTAGAGACAGAAAGAGAGGTCTTCCATCCTCTGTTTCACTCCCCAGATGGCTGCAACAGCCAGAGCTGTGCCAATACAAAGCCAGGAGCCAGGAGCTTCTTCCAGTTCTCCCACACGGGTGCAGAGGCCCAAGGACCTGGGCCATCTTCTACTGCTTTCCCAGACCATAGCAGAGAGCTGGATTGGAAGTGGAGCAGCCAGGACACGAGCCGGCACTTCAGGCCAGGCCTTTAACCCGCTGCGCCACAGCGCCAGCCCCTCTGAGTATCATCGACTTAATGTGACCAACATGAAGTGACTGAAAGTAGAGCTTAAAAGAAATGCACAGAAGCACACCAGCTATGGCGTTCCCACATGCAAACAGACAAATGATCTCAATAGCACAGATAATAGTAAAATGTAGTGAAATGATCAGGCAAGTGTCAATTTCGAGTATTTACTGCTTTTGTTTTTAATATAATTCATCAATGTAACTTAATTTTTATTAATGGCTATAATCAAAAACTGGCTTACAAAACTAAAATTTAACAATTGTCTCTCACAAACCAGTGTGGGCCAGGTGCAGCAGCCCAGTGGTTCCAGACTTCCGTCTCCTGCCAATCCCCTCAGAAATCTGAGAACTATCAAACCCTTGCCCTTTGCATCCTTTCAAACTTTAAAAAATTGTCTGCTGAATGAGGGAAGAAATCTACTTTCTGGATATGTATGCTACTTCCCCATAATTTCCTTTCTATAAAAATACTTCCTTTTCCAATTATTATTCAGGCCTTAAGGTAATTAAGTTTCTGACCAAACCTGTACTGTCTTAGAACTTACTGAACTGAATGGTTACTCATGTGTTTGTATTGTGAGTCACATTTGGTCTAAAAGAATTGGTATATATACTCTTTTGAAGTTTCTAAAATCACAGCATTTCCCAGCCTGGGCCCCATAACTTTTGGAAGAAAATAAGTAAAAGATGGCATATGTGAGCAGAGTCAGGGGCTGTGCAGTTTAGATATGCTCCAACATATACAATGTAATCTTTGATAACCGATTTCACTTATTTGTTTAATTATCAATATTTGCCCTCCTACCAACTACAGGTGGTAATAATGTCCAGTTGTCTTGAAGCTTGTGCGGGACAATATTGCTAAAGTGAGTTGAGAACATTGGCTAATGGGCTATTGGAAATGTAGGTCATCATTTATCATCTGGACATGAATTTGAGGCATTAAAGATCGTAATTCCATGAACTGACATAAACCCTTTAAACTTTGAAAAATGTGCTGAGATCGTTAAGGCAAATTGAAACTACCAGCTGAAATTAGTTTTCCAATTTTTGGTTGCATTTCCTTTAGCCATGTTCTCCCTTTCTTCCTATGCCATAAGTAATTGAGAGATGAAGGCTTAATTTATTCAGATATGTTTTTCTTTGGTTCTGGAATAGTTGGTCTATGGCACTGTGCCACAGTTTCCACGTTTTTCCTTTTTATGCCTTTCCTTTGTTGCTCTATATTTTCCATTCTCTTTTTTTTTTCCTAGATTTATTTTTCTCTTGCTTTCCAGATTAAATGTGCACCTAACACTTGAGCTTGGCGTCATCCTTGAACCAGTTTGAGGCGTAACATGTTGGTCTTCCTTTAAATAGGAGGCAACTTGAGTTCTAATGATCACTGAATCCATATTTGTCAGGGCATGATATTACATCACCCATTTTCTGGTTCCAGGTCATTTCCACAATCTACCTCCCGCCTTGCTCCGGGTACATACTACCAAACAAAGCCCTCCTTACAATGAAATGTCTCTTTAATCATAAAATATGAAGGGGGACACAGGACAAGGATACTGGAGTTCAACCTGGTAAACAGCCTATGCATGGTAAGCCTCAACTCTGTGTGTGCTGTTTGGTTCATGCTTCAGTCATGTGAGACTGTCAGCATCCCCATGGGGCCTTCCAGAGCTGACCCAGCCCCTATTATGAAGATCCAGTGCAAAATCGCTTTACTTAAGTAATTTACTTTACTTAGCAGTTCTAATTATTCTTTACTAATGTTGTATGTAAAGGAAAATTTAGAAAGCCACATAAAGTTGGGAAATGTAGTTTGTATTTTTAGTAGAATACCATATTTATACTGACAAGCTTGTGTTTGTAAGTATATTGTTGAGAAGAGTAGTTGTGAAAGAGTTACCCTGCTGGCACCGCGGCTCACTAGGCTAATCCTCCACCTTGCGGCGCCGGCACACCGGGTTCTACGGGTTCTAGTCCCGGTCCGGGCGCCAGATTCTGTCCCGGTTGTCCCTCTTCCAGGCCAGCTCTCTGCTGTGGCCAGGGAGTGCAGTGGAGGATGGCCCAAGTGCTTGGGCCCTGCACCCCATGGGAGACCAGGAGAAGCACCTGGCTCCTGCCATTGGATCAGCGCGTGTGCTGGCCGCAGCACGCCGGCGGCGGCGGCCATTGGAGGGTGAACCAACGGCAAAGGAAAACCTTTCTCTCTGTCTCTCTCTCTCACTGTCCACTCTGCCTGTCAAAAAAATAAAAAAAAAAATTAAAAAAAAGAGTTACCCAACCCAAAGTTTTGTCTTCTGTGTACATACATACATATATATATATGGCTTTGAAAGAGAAAACATTTGCTTTTATATCTCCTAAGATTAGCCAGAAGTAATTGTGGTTAGCTTTGCTGAAATTCCTCATCCTAATGATGCAAACAAAAATCACAAAGCACAGAGCTTTAGGTTTCAGAGGTGACTCACAAAGTCTAGCAATCCATCTTGGAAGTCTTAGCAGGCCTATTTTTGGGCCGTTCCCCACACATGGCGAGGCTGCAGAATCCCAGGTGTTCTTGCTGAGAGCAAAGTGGGAGCGTGAGGATTGCCCGGAGAAGCAAGAACATGCTCATTAAAGCCTGTTTCTGGTGGGAGACGAACCCGACTGGCAGTTCTGCTTTTCTCCTTGTAGTGACCCCTTTCCTTGTTAGAGAGGGGGTCTGATGTCCAAATGTATCTGAGTTTAATGAATTGTGGTTCACTGGGGACCCAGAGAGAGCACAGAAGTGCTTGCCTGGTGAACCAAGAACTGTTTATTTCACAGAAACTACCCATTTTAAATAATGTGAAACTTTTTTGTGAAACTCTTTCTACGCCTTGGGAGTCTGAAATGGCATACAGATTAGGGGAAATTTAGGGCTGTGACGTCAATGAACTAATCCAGCTGGCTGGATTAATGATTCTCTTATTTAAATAAAATCCCTACAAATGATTTGATAAGATCAGTAGACATTCATCCATCTCAGATGAAGATAGCATAAACTTAGAGAAACTCTTCTCATTCTGTAAATGTGGGATACTTAATCAGGTGAAATATCTTTGAGTCATATATTAGGGAATTAGGTCACCATATTGATTGTTTTAATCTGTCAGATACTTATTAACTACAAAAATACTGTCTCACAGGGCAAATTTCAATGAAATACATGTGCATCTCTGTGAAAGCAAACGTAATTGTATAAAACAAAATTGCAAGCAGCAAAGTGGCAATTTATACATAGCTAGAGAATAAAGTTTTAGACAAATTATAAATGGTGTGATGACTGCAGTAAGAAAACACATGACAACTATTATAGTGTCAGAGCTCTCAAGAGGGGCCACCACTATGGCATAGCACGTTAAGCCTGCGGCATTGACATCCCATATGGGCACAAGTTCGAGCCCTGGCTGCTCCATTTTTGATCCAAACTCCCTGCCAATGGCCTGGGAAAGCAGTGAAAGAGGGTCCAAGGGCTTGGAACCCTACATCCGCATGGGAGACCCAGAAGCTCCTGGCTCCTGATCAGCCCAGCTCTGGCTGTTGTGGCCATTTGGAGAGTGAACCAGCAGATGGAAGACCTCTGCGCTTCCTCTGTCTGTTAACTCTGCCTCTCAAATAAAAATAAATAAATAAATCTTAAAAAAAAAAAAAAAGCTCTCAAGAAACACCAAATGTGCATTGCAAGGTAAGCTAAGCACTAACCTGGCAGTACGTGTCATGAAAAAGAGATTTTTTCCCCCTTTTGGCATGATATTCTGAAAAAATTTACCACTACTGGAAAAAGTTATTTTTTTCTGTCAGTGTTCTAGAAATTATTTCAAATGCAATTAAAGCGTATGAAAAACTTCTCTACTGTTAATAGCATAAAAATCAACTGCAAAGGAACACTGCTTTTCAATTCAATGTGTTAAATATCTTCATTGCAAAATCAGTTACATGACCTACTGCATCATATAAACTTTATTTCTCCTGTTCAAATGAAAGTTCCAATTAACTTTGTGTATGTGATGTGTTGTGTGACTCTAGTCAGGTTCATTAATTTTTCTCTGGTTTGTTTCTCCAACTGAAAATTGAGATTATGTTGTAGCTCTTCCTCCTCACCATACTCTATAGAGTTAAATTGAGCATAAGTAAACTATTTTTATATGAAGTGATAAAGCTATAACCTGAAGATATTAATACTCTCATAAAATTTTAATTATTACAACTGAGAAAAGCAGCACAAATTTCCAAAAACATTAACTAGAAGTATACAACCTAAGTCATCACTGAGCTCACTAGGTTGGCAGAGAAAGAAACTGATGCAACAACAGTTATGATGTATTGAACACATTCTTTATGCCAAGCACTTTACATGCACTGTTTCATTTAACTGTCTTGACACCTGTGAGGTTGTGGGGAGCAACTCAGACTGGACTGAGTTACTGGAATTAAGACTTATTCTATGCATCTGCTCTCCCACAATATGGCGCTGGGAGAGAAGAAAACAGCTTCTACACAGCTGCCTCCAGTTCAGCCAATAAACTGTAGGACTTGCTCCTGATTGGAGGAGAGCAGCGTGCTCGGCGTGTGGGCAGCCGAGTTGGGATTGGCAGAGGAGGACTATAAAGGAGGAGAGAGACGGCATGCACCAGGAATATCTAAGGGGAACATCTAAGGGGAACACCTGTGCAGCCCCCGAGAGAGCCGGCCGGCGGTGTGCCGCTCCCCTGCGGAAGTGGGGAAAGTGGCCAGGGGGAACCGCCCTTCCACGGAGGTGGAAGGGACAGTAGCCAACCCGGGAAGAACCAGCAGCAAACCCGGGAAGGGCCGAGCAGACAAAAGAACAGCGCAGGGTCCTGTGTCGTTCCTCCACGAAGAGGGGGAGCGACATAATGGTGCCATGACTCGGATATGAAGCCTAGGCAGGGCTTAGTGTCGTTCCTCCACGAAGACGGGGAGTGACATAATGGTGCCGTGACTCGGATAGGAAACCTAGGACGGTTAGGAAACTTAGGAGGGAAGAAACGGGAAGAAGTGGAAAATATCGGAGAGAGAGACTAGCAAAGAGCCTAGGGGAAAGCCGGACGAAAAAGGTGCCGGAAGAAGCTATTGAAAGCCTAGGCATAGACTCAGATACGGACTACAGGGGGAAGCTGGGATAAATCTCTAAGGTCGAAAGCGAAAGTGAAAGCTAGAACAAACAGACTCAGATACGGACTGTGGGGAGAAGCCAGGAGAAATGAGGGAGGAGTATTGTTGGAGGAAAGCTTGGGGAAACATACCGGGTAGAGAAAAATGTTAGGGAAATTGAAGCTGCGGGGGCAGGCCGAGGCGGAGACGAAAGCCACTTTGGGATTCTCAAGTTAGCCTGGGAATGGGGGGCGAAAAGTTAAAACCAGAAGCGGAAACGTAAGCCAGGTTGGGATCCGTCTGATTAGCCCGGGGAGCAGAGGACGGGAAGCCAGATCGTGGGGCGGAAACGTGAGCTGGGTTGAATTCGCCAGGTTAGCCCAGGGAACTTAGATTGAATACTAGTGGCGGAGACGTGAGCTGGGGCTGTGTGACTCGCGGAGGCTGCCGCGCGCCGAGAGAGCATGCGGGGCACAAGTAGATAGGGAACGCTGGGCTAGTGCGAGACCGCGGAGTGTGCGCGCGAAGCCGAGCCGCGCAGAGCCGCGAAGCCGCGCAGATAAGAGAAGCGGGCTGAAGCGGATCAGCCGGGAAGCTGCCGAGAAGCAGCCTCGGGGCGGGCGCCGGGAAGCCGCGGGGATAAGAGAAACAGAAGTTTAGAAGTAAAATGAGAGAAATAGGAATGCTGGTAGATAGAAGTAAAATAGGAGAAATAGGAATGCCCGGAGATAGAGAAACAGAAAAATAAGGCCTCCCAGCAACACAGCAATGAGAGAGCTTGGATTCGGTCTGCCTGATTAGTAAGGCGGTAAGCACCAACAGGTGGCTCGACCAGAGTATGAGCTGCAGGTCACCGAAGATAGGCACGAATCAACACCAATAAGCCTCCCCACAATATGGCGCTGAGAAGGCTTGGATTCGGTTTGCCTGATAGGTTTTGTAAGCACCTGCAGGCAGTTCTAGCAGAGTAGAGCATGCGCTGCAGGGCACCGAAGACAGGCACGCATCAGCGCCTAAAAACCTCCTCACAACATGGCGAAGAGAGGACCCGGATTCGGTTTGCCTGATTGATAGGACTTGTAAGAACCTGTGGCAACTCTAGCAAGCAGAGCAGAGTGTGTGCCGTGGGACACCGAAGACAGGCGCGTATCAACGCCAAAAAATAAAAAGAAAGGGGGATCTGTGGGGAGCAACTCGGACTGAACTGAGTTACTGGAATTAAGACTTATTCTATGCATCTGCTCTCCCACAATATGGCGCTGGGAGAGGAGAAAACAGCTTCTACACAGCTGCCTCCAGTTCAGCCAATAAACTGTAGGACTTGCTCCTGATTGGAGGAGAGCAGCGTGCTCGGCGTGTGGGCAGCCGAGTTGGGATTGGCAGAGGAGGACTATAAAGGAGGAGAGAGACGGCATGCACCAGGAATATCTAAGGGGAACATCTAAGGGGAACACCTGTGCAGCCCCCGAGAGAGCCAGCCGGCGGTGTGCCGCTCCCCTGCGGAAGTGGGGAAAGTGGCCAGGGGGAACCGCCCTTCCACGGAGGTGGAAGGGACAGTAGCC